TGAAGTGCTGCACAAACATTACCATGCTGTGCCTATGTCAGAGTTGCTACTTAAAGACCTTTTCTGGTGCAAGAAACTTTGTCCTTCCAACTAAATAAGGAAATTAGGTTTGTAGTCACACTGGGAGTATATGATTCTGTCTTCAATTTATTCATAGTAGCACATCAGTCTTGTTAAATTACAAGCAATCAATTCATTTTGACTCATTTACAGAAGCAAAGTATTATTGATACATACTGGGAGAGCCAAGGGTACTGTGTGCCCTTCGGCCTTTCTCTGGTCTGTCTTGATGTTTCAACATTCTCCTAAATATGCTGTACTGTAAATTCTAATTTTGGGCACATTCTCCTAATTTAGTGCGAATATTAATCTATTTTTTTAATTAGCTGTGATGTATATCTGTGTTTCTTTAGACAAATGAGTAAAAATGAGTGCTATCCAGGTTTCTACCTGTAGGAAAACCTGCTATCCAGGTTTCTACCTTTTTCTTCTTCTCTCTGGGGTAAAGGGAATGAAAGGTCACCTATCCCTTGCCTGTTATTGATAAGAAATTCCTCTGAAGGCTTCTCACTGTCTCTTGCTCAGCTGTACTAGTCTATTTTATGTTCAGAATGTAAATGTCAGCTTCAGAAACTTAATTAAAATCAATGTGATTACAGTAAACCACATTCAAGTGGCAGATGATTGTGTGACTGCCTTGCAGTTGTAGGGAGCTGCTCACAGACACATGAGAGCTCCTCATAGGAATTTATATTCATGTAGGGATGGATCCCCTGTACCCAAAGTGAAATCTCATTCTGGAGTAGGTTTTTGTTGGAGTCAAGCTCTCTAACAAGTATTAATTTGAGGTCAGGAGTTTGAGGTCCAGGTTGAAACTGATGGTCCTTACCTGGTTTTTTCCACTCAGCAATCCATCTGAGGAGTTTCCTGAGCTGCTGGTTGCAGTAGAGTCTGGAGAGATTTCAGATTTCCTTGGCTGTGCTTCCAGCTGAAGGATTGTGGTGACATGTCTCAGCAGGATGCTGTAGTTGCTATTGTGCAGTGGTTAAGCAGTTAAGTTGTTTGTCTGGAAACTTCTGATTAAACATTCTCATCAGTGCCACACAGAACATCAGGCTGCTTTGGCAGGGCTCCTCACAGAGGCTGTCACCCATCCTGGAGTGATGGCAGTGGCTTTGTTGGACACTCCAGGAGTCTCCACTGGCTCTGTGGAGCTTGCCCTGGACCTGAGGAGAGTGAACATATTATTTACTACTGATGGGAGTTAAATGCACTGATCTGATGCTGGCTGCAGTGCCAGTGCAAGCCCTGGGGATTAATCTTGGAATGTTTATAAAGAGCAGCCAGGGCTGGGCAAGTCCCTGGGGCTGGATGAGGCTCCCTGTTCTGTGCTGGGTTCTCCTGATGGGACTAAATGTGTGGCTCTGAATGTTTTAGAATTCAATTCCTCTGGTTTATTAATAAAAAATTATATAAGCAAATAAATGTTTTACTAGAGACTGCAAACCAGCCATTTTGGGTGTCTAAATCACCACGTTTCCTTATTTCTCCAGTGTTTGGTTCTGACTGTGAGTTGATAGCACCTGGAATGAGCTTTGCAGCTTTCCTAAACCACAGCAAAGAGAAGCACTCGATGTGTTTGTTTCATATAAAGCACCACTTCTTCCTTCCTGACAATACATGGCTTGTTGGAATATATTTTCCAACACTTGCACTTGACCTCCTGTGCACCTGTTCTGCTGTCTCTCTAGTGTTTGTGCTTTTTCTTGAGTTGCAGCATGTACTAATTGTTGCTAATTATTTTCTTGGGCTGACAACAACTGCCTCACTACATACCTCACCCTTCTTACATAAATCAGAAAATATGTCTATTTTTGATTTTACATTCTGGGATGGCTTTAGATTTGATTGATGATACAAAAAAGGCTTAAAATCTTGCTTGATTTTGCTGGGAATTAGGCCACCTGACTTCTTCAGTCCTTTTGAATTCCCAGCCTGAAGACTAGAGAGGCTCTGAGGTGTCCATCTTGATTCTTTCCTGAGTAAGCACTAATGCTTTCAGCTGAGCCTTATGCAGCAGTTGTCTCAGTAGTTCATGGTCATAGATAATTTTACCATAATTTTTTCCTTTCCAAAGCCATTTCTTATCACAGCAGGCATAACTATCATCTGAGAACACGTACCTCCATTTTCATTATCAACTGGCAGTGTCAGAGATGGGGGGAGGGACGGATTTCAAAAATGTAATGCTGTATGCTGCATGCTCTGTGCAGGGTGCAGGAAGGGATGAAAATGAGTGAATCTCTTCTGTTTGCATAGAGAAAAACTGGCACCATTCCCTTTGGATGAGAGCTTGCCTGCTGAAATGTTAGGCTTTACTAACTAAGCAGAGCTTGTCCTTTGGGTGAAGAAGAGGTTAAATATGCCTCTGTCTCTTCTGAGAGTACTTGGTGGTGGTGAGTGTTTCCAGGGATACAGGCAACTGCTCTCCTTTGTAGTTTGTGATACAAAGAGCCTCAAATGCAGGCAAGAAACAAACTTAAACAATTTACATTAAATGCAGATTTAAAACCTGTTCACTGACCTGATAATAGACCTTTGGAATTGCTGGGGAAGGCTGCAAAAAGTGAATTGCTTTAAGAGGAGACAGGATGAGTAATTGGAAGAGTTTCACTGTAGGCTGATGAATGACAGAAACAATGCTTGGCTTGGGAAATCCACTGGGATAAAAATAGGCTGAGGTTAGGAGAGCACTTGGGGGAAGTGTTCCCTTGTGCTTGCCTGGCGTTGCCTCATCCCTGGCACCCATCTGTGGCCTCTCTGCTTCCTCCTTGAGTTGTTTTCCCGAGGTGCCTGCGGGGAGCTGCTCCTTTGCATCAGACCTTTGTTCCCAGCAGCTCAGGCACCTTCTGGCTGTCGGGACAGGCTGTGGCTGGTGAGTCTGTGGTGCTGCCAGCTGCTTGAAAGCTTGGATTTGCCCACAGTGTTGTGAAGTTTGCCTCCCACACAATACCAGCCTCTGCAAGCCTCCTGTTTGCTTTGCTGCTGTCCATCGTCCTTCAGGTCTGGGCTCGCCATCCACTTTGCCCTGTGTCCAACCCCAGGGCGATGGGAGACAAGGGAAATTTGGGGCACTGCAGGCTCTGAACTAAAAAGATGCTTCTGAGGGTGCTCCCATTGCTGCTCTTGGACACAGGGTCCTGCTGGGCTTGATGGAACCTCTTCTTTCTCAGACTCCATGAGCTTACTAAACATGGCTTGTGTTTCCTTCCTGTAGGCTTGAAAGAATTTTGTTTTACATTTCTCTGTGCACTGTGTTGCTTCTGAGAGATTATTTAAAGGTTGCAGTTTGAAGAGATGTGTGAGCTGATTTAACAGCTTGATATCACCTCACCAACAGCATGATTCCACTCCTACATGTGTCATCTTCCCCCTCTATTCAGATTTAGTGCTTTCTTAGTTCTCTTTTTGCAGTTAGTTTTCTGCTTGCTTAATTTGCAGAATCAGGGTTTTAAACATTTTCTTTGGGGTATAAAACAATAAATTTTGGGAAGCAATCACAGAGTCATTTAGTTTGGGAAAGACTGCTTAGGTCATCAGATCCAGCTATGAGCCCAGCACCACGACCAAGTTCACCACTAAACAGTGTCCTCAAGTGCCACATCCACATGGTTTTTGAACACTTCAAGGCATGATGACTCCACTACTTCCACAGGCCAGCCAGTTCCAAGGCTTTTACCCTTTCAGTGAAGAAATTGTTCCTAATATCCAGTCTAAACCTCCCTTGGTGCAGCTTGGGGCCATTTCCTCTCATCCTGTCCCTTGTTCCCTGGGAAAAGGGTCTGACCCCCACCTGGCTTCACCTTCCTGTCAGGGACTTGAGGAGAGCAGTAATGCTCCCCTGATCCTCCTTTTCTCCAGGCTGCCAGCACCATCCTATAGAAAACCTTCTCACCTAACTCACTCCAGAAGGTCACCTCTGGCTCCTGTAGAACTTCCACTGGTTATGTGCTGAGGTTTTGTTGGAATTCTGAGCAAGAATCACTTGTGCATCTCTGCATTCATCTGTGTGTGTGTGTGTGTTACCAGTATGAGTGTTTTCAGTAAGAAATTTTCAGACCATTCCAGGCACAGAAGCAGAGGCTTGTGAATGCCTGAGAGAAGAGTCTGGGAGCAGCCACAGCCCTGGCTCCTGCTGAGCTCTGAGCTCCTGCAGCAGGGATCTGCTGCCTTCCCTTGGACAGGATTGTGAGGAGGCAGCAGAGCTCCTGCTGGCTCCCTGATCAGGATGAGGGCAGGACAGCCTGGCATGCTGCACCTGAAAGGTTGCTCATCCCTGCTCCACTAACACTTTTGATTTTTAGTTACTGCATGCCAGACCTTTCTGATGGCTGACATGGCAATCTGCTACAGGTTTATGTAAAAGGTTCCTTTCTTGGGCAAGAGATCTTCAAATCTGAAATTTACCTCGGGGCAAGCAACATTTGTTGTGTTTGAGAATGTTCCTAAATAATTGTCTCTTACTTGGTTTTATAAGAGATCTCTGCTGAATCTCAAATAAGTCAGGGGAGGAGGGGGAAGGAAACCAAGGGGCTGTGGTGTGACCTATGAAATCCTGCCTGTTGGAGCATTGAAGAGGATGAAAGTCCAAGATGATTTTCTGGTTCTTGATGGAGAGTGACTTTTAAAGACTGCTGGTGGGCTTTTTGAACTAATGCATCTTGCTTTCATCCACAAACCTGCTTTTGAAATTTTGGCTTTTATGTTATTCTTTTTTACATAGAGGAAATACTGGCCTGAATCTGATAAAATGCATGGAACATATTTACTGATGTTTTCTGAAGTTGTGCTGGTAAAGCTTCAGCAATTATAAGGTCGCTACCTATGTGTGCTTAGTATTTTTTGTAGGGTATTATATGGTAATATTTAAAATTAAAATATATGTATATAAAATGATTGTATTTTACAGCTTGTAAGGAGTGTGTATTTCTCTGTTTTAGGGCATTATTCAGAAGATTGTGGACAGTCAGAAAGTGAAGAATGTGGCCTGCTATGGGTTACGGCTCAGTCACCTGCAGTCTGAGGAAGTTCACTGGCTGCACCTGGACATGGGGGTGTCCAGTGTGAGAGAGAAATTTGAACTAGCCCACCCTCCAGAAGAATGGAAGTAAGAATATAACTCTGTTAAATGTCAGTCATATAAGTCTTCCCGTCTTGTTGTAAAAAATACTCTGTGATTTAGTTTACTAACATCTTGTAGTGGAATAGAGCTGGTAGAATGGGGGGAAATAAACTCACCAAATTCCTCACTAAAAGCTGTGAGCAATGTTTTGTTTGCTTTAAGGGGTTTTTATTGTTATAGGGGGTTTCCTGCAAACTGAAGAGAAACCTGGGATTTAGAGGAAGCATTAAATAGGAACAGAGATCTCCTAGTCATATGTGCTGAAATCTGCAAGTTTTGTCATACTTAAAAGTTTTAGGACAAGAATGGTATTCCTAGTTGTGGTATAAGCACATGGCTGTAGTTTTAAAGGATGAATCTTGTTATTTAAATAAAGCCAAAAGGGTATTGTTAAATACTGGTTGTACTTATTTATAGACTGAGCAGGAGAAATGTGATTTGAAAACAGTGAAATGCAGTCAGAAATAATTTTATCCCTCTGTTTTTAAAAACCTCTCAATTGTTAAACTTTCTTATATTGAGACCCATAGCAGTAAGTGGCATCTGCCTTCCTTCTGACTGTGATCTTCTCAAGTTAAACCAGGAGCAATGAACAGTAGAAAGATAACTGCAGAATTTTGGGGGTTTTTCATAGCCTGGGCACATTTGCTGAGGTTTTTCATGCTGCTGGTTAGTTGATTAAAAGAAGTGGCATAACCTAAGTTTCTTTAGCTTTTTAGGAGGGTAAGCTGGTGATACCCACTCAGGACAGGAAGGAAGGAAACTCTGTCCACTTTCCTGGTAGAAAGACAAGAGGAAACTTAAATTTATTTGCAGAAAGACACAATAGTCTACTAGAGAAAATGGGTAGCTCAGAGTTGTAAAATACCAATAAACCAAATAGAGATTAAACCAAAGGATAGATTAATGTGGTTACTTGTTCACTACAGGGGTGTTGTGCATCTCTTTCTGTGGTTTATGCTCATAACCACAATTGTGATGAAGTTGCTGGTTGTTTTAAAGGATGCACATACCTTCTGCAGAAGTATTGTAGATAATTTCTCACAAGTGGAGTTATTATATTCTAGCAGATGTCTCATTTGGCAATATTCAGTTTGTAAATTCTCTTTAGGGTCCCAATTTTAACAAATTCCACAAATTCAAAGAAATTAGGAATATCTAAAACCTGTGTTTCAAGAATGTTGCATATTCTCTTTTATGCATGTTATATTTTATTGTTTCTGTGAAAACTACACAGGTATTTTCCCTCACAAGAACTTTTTCATTGATAATATTGGGAAATCACACTTTAGAAAGGAGGAGATTCTTGAATCCTTTCTGTGATTAGTGGTGTTATCAAGTGGTTGGTGAGATGTGAATAATTTATGCTGTGGAAATTTGTTACCTTGTGTACCAATGTCAATTCCATTTTTGTAAGGCAATGCAACTTGCATGGTACACATTGCAGAACACATTTAATTGGTTTTAAAAACAAAGTTAGATATTGTTTTGAAGCTTGTGGAAAGGAATTGTGTAAAATGCTCATGAAAGAGCTATGATAAGGTGTAAATTATTCAATACCTTTCCAAGTGTCATTTAGTATGTTATCAAATACATGCAGCCTGACATACCTTTTAAACCCAGAGAGATTTGCTGTGCATAATCAAAATGCTGCTGTCATATTTGTAATGCCAAAACACAAAGTGTCTAAGATCATATGACAGTACTTGTAGAAATATTTAGATTACTAAAGGGGAGGTAGTCTTGGAATGGTTCTTAAATAAAAAGCTTCCTATAGTGTTAGCAAACCACCAAATACCCCACGTGATTATTTTGTTTTTATCATCGAAATTAAAGGTTTGTGTATTCAGTGTTCAGAAATTACATCTTGGAATTCTTCTGGACTAATCCAGGTACTAGAAGTTACAGGAATTGTCAGTAGGTTGCACACAAAAGTTACCAGGGTAAAATCCATCACTGAGCTGGGTGAGCCAGGGCTAGCAGGATGTGGGCTCTTAAATCATAGATACACAAAATGATGAGGGTTGGTGTTAATACTGAGCCTTGAGCAGCAGGCACAGCTGCTCTCCTTCATGCCTCTGACAAAACCCTCTGTGCCAGAGCCCTGTTCCTTTTGCTGGTGTTTGTGTCACACAAAAGAAATACCAGGAAGTTCACATAGCAAGTTGTGTGTGTTGGAGCACTCTGTTCCCCACAGGGCAGACACCTCCCAGCTCTGTAGCTGGGGTTTGTGAAGCAGGTCCCTGTAAGCAGGTGACATCCATGCTGTGGCTCTGACAGGTAGGAGCCACCCCAGTGCTCAGCAGTCCTGGACTGTGAGTTTTGGTAGCTGTGATACAAAAGCCCTGGCACAGATACAGGGCCAGATCACCTGTGGGATGGTTTAATGAGTTGACCAAGTTGATATAACAGACTTGTCCCTCTCCTTGCTGCACTCTGTCTTATCTCTTCTCTGCTTTCCAGTTATCCAGTCCTTTTCCTGTCCTTCTGTGAGCCCTAATACTTCTATAAGCCTGCAGCGAGCTGGTTCAGTTCATTAAACTCACTCAAGACTTCCCCTTTGCCTTCCCTTTTGGTTCTCATCTTCTCTGTTCTGGTTACTTTCCTGTTGATGTGAACTGAATCAGAACCTGCTGGAGGCAGGGTTGGGATTGGCAAGATTATTTTTTTCAGTGGCACAAGTTGTTAAGAGTTGGATCAACCTTTTTCTTTTGGCTCCACCAGCTGCCCTGGTAGTGTTACTGACAGGGAAGCTCCCAGAACTGCTCAGTGGTGCTCACTCTGCTGTGGATGGGTCACTCACTGCACAACTTGTGAGCTCTACTGATGGCCACCTTTGTGAGGTGTGTGTGTGCTTCTGAGCCCCAGTGGAGGGCCAGAGCAGAAGCACAGTGGTGATCTTCCAGGAATAACTTATCACACATAAGGGGAGTGATCATCAGCTGAGATGTTTGCTCTGAGAGCAGACCTGGTTTGTGAGAAAGGGACATGTCATCCTTGTCAGTTGGCTGCATTTCAAAGCCAGTCAGTTATGAGGATATTGAAAATTGAGCCCATCCTTGTGTTGGCCTTTGGAAGTCAGCTCCTTCATTCCCACAGGCAGAGATGAGGTTATAAATAGCTAATGAAGGTCACTCACAGTCACTGTCCCAGCTGAACTGCTTTGCCTTACCTGATTTTCTCATGAGATCCTGTTGCAAGAAGCAGCACTTTCGTGGCTGATCAGTTAAGAAGATATGTCCCTGTAAAGGAGAGAGGTTGATTCTCCTCTGTTTGTTGGTTTGCTTTTTTTGGTTTTTGTGGGTTTTTGTTGTTTTTTTTTTAATCTCAGAGAGTAATGGTGTTCTTCATCCTAGAATGACAGAATCATTTGGGCTGGAAGACACCTCTAAGGTCATCAAGCCCTACAGTTAACCCAGCTCCGCCAAGGCCACTACAAACCATGGCCCCAAGTGCCACACCTACCTTTAAATCCCTCCAGGGATGTGATGCCACCACTTTCCTAAGCAGCCTCTTCCAATCTCTGACAGCCCATGAAGAAATTTGTTCTGATATTGAATGTCCAATTTTCTGATCTATAATTCAGTCTAAACCTCTCCTGGTGCAACTTGGAATGGTTTCCTCTCATCCTATCACTTGTTACTTAGGAGAAGAGCCTGATCCCTCCCTAGCTACACTCTGCTGTCAGGGAGTTGTAGAGAGTGATAAGGTCTCCCCTGAGCCTTCCTTTGCTTCCTCATCTGTTTCTCACCATATTTGTGCTCCAGAAGAGATTTAGGTTGGATATTAGAAAAAAAATTCTCAATGGAAAGGATTGTCAAACACTGGAACAGGCTGCCCAGGGAAGCAATGGAGTAACCATCCTTGAAAGTGTTCCAAAGCAAGTGTGGATTTGGCACTTGAGGACTCTGTTTAGTGGGGAGCATGGTGGTGGTGCTGGGTTGATGGTTGGACTTGAAGATCTTAAAGGTCTTTTCCAACCTTAATGATTCTGTCATTCTAAAATGCACTGGATTATAGAGCCCTCCAAAAAGGAAGGAAGTCTTTTATACAGACTTGTTTTATTCCATGTCAATCTCTGCAGTTGTGTTCAGCAGTAGATTTTAGTGGATATGGCAGAATGAAAAACAGGAGAGGCTCTGCTTTTCTGGACAGTGTGCTTGTGCTGCCTTCTCTCCCTGACACATAAACACCTCCAGGTTCAATTTGGCTGACACCTAAATTTTAGTGAGTAACCACTTATCTGCTGGGGATCATGAAATGTAAAGGCTGATCAGCAATTGAAGGTGATTCTATGTTCCCTTACATATGAGAGTAACCTGTGAAAGTTTGTCTTAACTGTGACTTGGAGTCTTTTTTTGTTTATCTGTGTCTGTGTCCTTGTGTCACAGAATGGTTTGGATTGAGAAGGACATTTAAGGATCACTAAGTCCACCCCAGTGACAGGGCAGGGACACCTTCCACTATCCCAGGGTGCTCCAAGCCCCATCCAACCTGGCCTTGAACACTTCCAGGGGTGGGGCAGCCACAGCTTCTCTGTCCCAGGGCCTCACCACCTTTAGAGTAAAATATTTCTCCCTTGTATCCACTGTAAATCTACTCTTGTCAGGTGTCCTCAGCCTCCTGCATTTCATTCTTTAATTTAACAACATGTTTTCTTATTTTGTCATACTACAAGACATCATTCTAGTATTCTTTGTTTGTGTACAGTGTATTTACAATTTCCAAATTTTTTCCTTATTTTAATGGTTTCTAACAGGACAGTGGATTTTCAATGTAAAAAAGGATATTGCAAGTTCTGCTTGCAGTGGAAACCTAGGCAGCACTTAATTCTAGTAAATTTTTACCAAATTCTCACTTAAATCTTGATTGCAGCCAAATCACTTGCTGAAAAGAAGTTCTTGTCCTGCTGAAACCAACTGATTGAAATGTTGTAATATTTGCTCTTATCATGAGCAGATTGTTAAATATACTTACTTAGGGAAATATTGTTAAGAGTGTGTGTTAGGATATGCTGTGTTGGCACAGCCCAAGGGATGGAGACATTCATTATCAGACTTTCATTGAAGGAATGTGTCAGAGGAGGAAGCAAACAGTCTGAGTCAAACACCATAGGCTGTTACCACAGGACAAGCAATAATACTAAACTTAGGGATTGGAAGCAGAAGTTTATGACAAGAAATATTACTAAATTTAGGGGCTGAAAGCAGAAGTTAAGGTTTGAGAAGTGATACAGATTTGGTGTAGGTCGTGGGTCAAGGCTCATTCTGAATTTCCCTCACTTCCAGTGTAGAATTACCTTTAAAAATATGTCAGGTTCAAAACTGTTTAGCTTTGCATGTGTCTTGATGATGAATAAGGGAGCAGAGAACCTTTTTACAGAGAAATCCCTTCAAAACCTATGGAAAATCTGGGGGTGAATATTGGAGCATAGATCAGAGAAGGAGCAGAGCCCTGTTCCTTTGGCTCCCTGGTGAGTGACACTGTTTGTCACTCCTGGAGCAGCAGGATCAGAGTTTAAGGCCCTGCTTGTGAGAAGCAGAGATAAAAGCTGTTGCCAGGGTCATGTCAGGGCTTCTGGCAGCTCATCTGTTCTCACCTAGCTGGGGCCTCCCTTCCCATGGATCTGGAGCTTATCTGCTCCAAGTCTTGGTGCTTGGTCCTCTCTGAAGCTCTGAGAAGGCAGCAAGGCTCTAAGTTTGCTTCTGTTACAAAGGTCCTTTGTAAATACCTCTGTGAAATGTCTGTTACAGAGAAATTCCAGTTTAGTTCTCTTGAGTGATCAAAAAGGAAGTTTTCCATTAGTTTTCTAGGTTTATTTTGAGTTTATTTGTATTTTTAAGAATGTTGTGAGGAAATCTTAATTTTAATTCTGCTCAACAGTCTCTTTTTCTTGCTTTTCAGATATGAATTGAGAATTCGGTATTTGCCAAAAGGATTTCTAAACCAGTTCACTGAGGACAAACCAACTCTAAATTTTTTCTATCAGCAGGTATGTTCTGTTCTTCTGCTCTGTCTTTTGCTGGTTTTGCTGAATTTAGAAAACTCTGGATTTGTTTATGTGGGTAGCATATTACTGCAGAAGTAGAAAAATGGAAAAAACTTAGGGTGGCATATATAAGGCAGAAAGGGCACAAAGCCCATGGCATCTTTCTGCTTGAGAAGTGGTGAGGAATATGTTCTAAAACCAAGGTGATTCTGCAGGTAATAATTGTCCTAACTCAGATAAAATTGACTGTTGTTCCACTGGCTTCTTACAGTTCATTCACACTTGATTAAACTGATGAATTTCTTTATTTTTATTTTTAAGTGTAAGTAAGTGACAATTTCACTACAAACCATCAAATGCTTTTCCCACTCACATTCTTAGGTTATTTTCTTGGGTTTAAAATATCTTCTGAATTACTAAAACTGTGTAATAGTCAAAGTTTCTATCAATTAAACACTAAATTCTAATTTTATTCAGGTAAATGATTTTAATCTGCTTTTACATCAACAAGCTCACAATAAAACCACTTGAGGGTATTTTTAGGGGAGTTGGGACTAAAATGGTTACCCTAACTCCAGCAAGCACAATTGTGCACACAGCATTCTTGTTTTAGGTAAATGTCTTTTAATTTTTTTTTTTACTGTGTGATGCAATTTTTGTGTTGATCTGTGATGAAGTTGACTTCTGAAAAGACACTTCTCCTGCAGTGCTTCTTTGGACTTCACATTCTAGTTTAAGTGATTTGTGTGATATGCTGGATTCAGCCTAAAATGTCTGAATTTTGGTGAGTTTTTAGTGTAGTACTGCCAGGAGTTCTTGTACAACAAAATCCTGTTTGTTTTTCCTTTAGCAGCAAGGAACTTTCTTCATATGATTTTAAACACAGGAGATTTGTGTTTCCCATGATGCAAAAGTGGGTGATGAGCTCCAAAATAATTCCTTGAACTTCATCACTTTCCTGTTCAACACCTGGCAAGCCTGCAGTGTCCTCTCATTTCTGCCTCAGGGAACTGTTTCTGTAAAGCAAGGAGTTTGAAATGCCAGAGGAATATTTGTTAACTTCTAACTAAATTTGGAGAAATCATTACAGATGGGTACAAATGGCTCAGAATAGAAGGTTTTGGAAGGTCATTGGGACTGATAGGCAAAGCTGACAGCTCCCTGTATCTGACAGTGCCCTGAATCCCAGTGCTGTTATAAAATAAAAATCAGAGTTTCTTGTCTCCTTGCTCTTCACACAATCCCATTTATTTTCTCTTCCCCTTTCTTTTTCACCTTATTGTGAGGTATTTCTGAATCCAGTTCTTTAAAAGTCACTGCTCTTTGTTTTGGGGTGCTCTAAGGTATTTGGGTCTCCGTTGTCATGGAAATCAGGTGCAGAACTTTCCAGAGCTGTCATTCTGTATCCATGATTCTGCTTTGCTCCATAAATTTCACTTGTCCTCTTGGATAAACTAGGACAATAACTTCTATGTGGTAAAGTGTCAAGGCAGCAGCAGTGACGTATGAAAAGAAGGCAAGAGAAGAATTTAAGCAGTAACACTGCATCATAAACCAGGCCTACAGCAGAGGGGGGGATAAAAAACCAGGGAAAGATGATTTTTTACATTCTGTTCCTATCTCAGTGTCATCCCTGCAACATTTTAACATCTTTTGCTTAACCACTGCTCTCAGTCAGATGCATCATGTTGTGTGTAGGCAAGAACAACAGAATGTACAGAATTCATACATGCATACATAGAAATCCTGAGCTTTCTGCACAGAAGCAACTGTCAGAGATGAGTTTAGAACCCAGTTAAAAATTTTTAAAATCTGACAGAAACAACGCCTCTGTTGTCAAATTGGCTTTTCTCAATGTAAAACTCAAAGACATTGCTGTCTTGTATGTTACAAATGAGTAAAAAAGATTTTTGTGAGGACCAGATGCCTGTGATTTTCTTGTCAGAATGAGACTGGGAACCTTTTTGCTAACTTGGTAATATCCAAACACATTGTTTATCTCTCTAAAAATGTATAGCAACAAATTCAATTAAATTTCAGCTGAAAATGTATAGCAACAAAGGTTCATGGAGAAGGAGAAGAAACATGGTTACCTCTGTCACGCACGGAATTTGAAATTTTAATGATTTTCTTGAATCTGAATTGGAAGCCACAGTGTTGTTGAAAAAGAAAGTTTAAATCCTCAAGTGATCTTCTGGAAAAGTACAGGGCATTTTGTAAAGATAACAAAATGTTACTTTAATCACTGTCAACAGGCAGGGTTTATTCATGCAGCTCACCCAAAGCACAATTACCAGGCTGTTAAACCCAAAGCTGGCACACGTTTGTGGTGCACATGCATGACTGCTCCCATTCACTGCAGCGAGTGCTGTCCTCTGCAAATCACTGCATTTCAGGCTTCTCAGCTTGGGCTTGATATGTGAAATCACTATTTTCTCCTTGATTCTTGACTGTTTTAAGGATGCTGTGACCTTTCTTTGGTTTTGAATATTCTTCACCTTCAAGAGTCTTGACCAGATCAAGAACCTGTGCCCAGAAGTGTTTGTGGCTGGAGGTGCCGCGGTCGCGGCGCCCGTTCTGCCATCTGCGGTGGGCGTGAGCTGCTCTTAATTGGGAGTGTAAAGCAGGGCACTTAATGAGACCTTTCATTCTGCAAGCTGTACAGCAAGGGATTAAAATTACTGTGTGGGAGCAGGGGGAAACCACACAACTCGTTAATAACATCAGAATCAGTCCCACTAACGATGCCTCTTGTGTCAGGCTGTGCCTCAGCTTTGAGGCCAGAGATGGGGAGAGGCTGATCTTTAGGTCATTCCCCTTCACTGGAGGAGCTCTGTGTTCCAGTCATGTCATTTCACATCCCATTTGAGAGCTCTGATCAACAAACCCATGCTGGAACTGTGCCTTTTTGTTTTGTTGCTGCTCTCTTTGGCAGGTGTCAGAGGTAGTGGGTGACAGGACTTCAGGGGTGTCCTCTCTTTTTTCAGTCTCTGGAGCATTTAGGTGGTGATTCTACATGGACTGCATTATGCCCCTTGGGCCCAACTGCTTACAGTTTCAGCCAAATTAGGCAAATTGGATCCCACCCAGTGCTGTTGGAACTGTGAGGCTGAAATATTCAAAAATCAGGAAAAGCCAGATTTATGGTTGTCTCCACAGTTGGCAGATGCTCACTGCACAGGTTTTATGTGCCAGCCTTCAGTTGTGTCCTGTGGTATTGAATACCCAAATCTGAATCAAAAGTGAGCTCTAATCCCACCCACAAAACCTTGAAAGTGTAGTACAGTGAATAAAAATACTGTAAGTTAAGATTTATCAGGAAGTGGCATCTGTGTGTGTGTTCTGTTGACTGTTTTGTAAATCTCTAGTATATCTCTAGAAGATATCTAGGTTTTTGTATGATTTATTAACATTTTTCAGAGAAAACAAACATTAAAGTACAAAAGGAGAATTAAAAATTTCACGTTTTTAGTAGTGAAATAAGATTTCACCATTTTCCTGTCCTTTTTGGGAGTATTTCCAGTTGCTTTAAATAAGTGTTGGTGAAATTCCCAGTGAATGCCTTCCTTTCCCTGTGTTCCAGTGACATGGCAGTTGGGAAGTGGAAATAAAGAGGACAGGCTCCTCTATTTTGCCTTAGTAGCTGAGTGAGCAACGAAAGCCATATCTCAAATGAAGATAGAATACAGCTTTTAAAAACATCCATGTAATGAGAATCAGACGTAAGCTGCTTGAATTGCCTTCCTTTTATTGTGGGACAAGAGCCTGCACACATTTATCCTTGAATAACATGTTAGCCTGCAGTAATTGGAGATGGTTTATCCCTTGATGAAAAGGGAGTAAGCATCTGTATGGGGGTGGGGGCAGCTCTTGGGCATCAGCTGTTCCATTGTTGCTGTCCTTGTGCTTCAAACAGAAGACTTTTAAAGAAACTTTTTGGAGGGTTTTTTTAGATCCCAGTGAACAAGAAAAGGTTGTTTTTATCAGTGTTGAATTTTTCTCTGTTGCCTTGTTTAGCCTGCAGTGTGGAGCTAGCCTGGAAATGTTAATATATATAATAAAGGAGACCACAGGACTGAGCTGTGTTTTGAATTTACTTTTTAAAATTAACCAAAGTTTGTGTAAGAAGAAATTGCAAGCAGGGGATGATCTCGAAGTTAGGGCAGGTCAGTGATGCCCTGAAAAAAATAAGCTGAATTCTGTGCTATGAGGGCTCTGTGCCTCACCAGACAAGTACACTGCAAGGTTCATTTTCATAAGAAAACTCTTTTTGAAAAGTAAAGATCAAAAAAACCCCCCTTTTTCTTACTAGAAAAATAAAGGCAAAAAACATCCTCTGAAAAAGTGGAGAAAAAGTTTCTTGTGACCAATTGGCACTTTTTTTCTCTGTCTCTGTAGTGTCTGTAAAGATTATGTTAACACTCAAAAGGTATTTCATTAAATGAAATATCTCTTTATATTGTGGCAGATAAATACATCATGCAAATTAAATTATTTTTATAACTCTGTCCCTGACATGTAGGAAATTTTAAGTCCATGCAATTATTGTAATAACTTAATGATTAAAGTTTTATAAGGCTGAGGTGCATGAGATGTAATTTGAAATGCAGGCTGGGAATTAGACTCTTTAACCTAATTAAATAACAACATCTCTCACACCCTAATAAAAATAGGAGACCTAAAGCAAATGACTTTGACAGGAAAAGCTTTGAAGGAAATGAAGGACATTGGGAGAAAAGCTGGCCTTGTTCCTGATGTTGGCATCCTATTTAAAACAAAAAACCCCTCAACAAAACAAAAAAACACACCCCAAACCCAACAAATCTTTCATGAAGGCTGAGGCATAAACTGTGCCCTGCAGGAAGGTGGCCATAGAAGAACTGCAGCTCATTAAAAAGATACTAAAAATATATTTTTTGATAAAACTATAAATAAATCTGAACCTCTCCTGTCTGTTTTTTACAGCTTGAGTAGACAATTAAAAGTGAGATTTCCTTGACAGG